TGTTAGTGTCAGTGCCTTGATTTATTGTTTCCTGGATCTCGTTATTTTTCAGCACTCGTTTCATTATTAAACTTTTCTTGCTTTGTCTTTTTTCTCTAAGTAGATCCACGTTTCTTTGAGGATAGAGCCCACGTTTTTTCTCTAGAATTGAGACCCAATTGCAAAACTGTTAGCCTTCAGTAGATGCTTACTAAGGGCTACCATTAGTCCAAAAACTTCCAAATGAATTATAAACCATCTATCTAAACATTTACTAAAACATTTCAGTGATTCTCCAACTTTAGTGTGCACAAGAGTTAAGGAAAAGCTCAGGGAAATGTAGTAAGGATTCTGATGTTTTCAACCATTCCCTCCCCTTTCTCTCTCCTATTATTATTACTGCTGTTTCTTGGCAAAGAAATTCTAGGAAGAGGAAGACATCATCGGGCCTTTGAATTGAACTAATTTTTTTTTTTTTTTTTTTTTTGTGGAGAAAGAACCCTATACAAGGTGGAGTAGCTCTATGCTTCTCTCCAACTTCACGCTCTTCTTTCTTTCAAAAAATATTTCTTGTGTACCCACTAAGTGTCACGTGCTAGTCTAGGTCCTGGAACAAAAACAGACTTCACTGATGTAGCCTTTAGATTCTAGTTGAGGGAAGGCAGACAACAGGCAAATAAACTCAAAGATTATTTCAGATATCGTTGTATAGAAAAGAGGAAAATAAACCAGGTGAATAAGACAGAGAATGATTAAGGAGAGAACTAAAAAATTGATTCATGAGTTGACATGTAATCTAAGCACAGAACAACCAGAATGAACCATACAAAAGACCTCATGGGAAGAGCTATCCAGGAAAAAAAAAAGAGTGGATAGACAGTGTTAGAAGTAACCGAATGTTTGCAACTCCTTATTCACAAAAAAGTAGCTCATGTCAAGATTCCTTTTGCCTCCCACTTTGTCTTAACAGGATTTTATTACCATTGGCAGATTATATTTTATAGCACTTGAGGACTGAAAATGAGTTCTCCTTGGATTTCCTTGACAGCCAAATGACTTATCACTCACTGGATTACTCAAATGTCATCAAATAGGGTATAACAAGCATGCAGTGGAAACTTGCAGGAGTGCATATCCTTTTCTAAAGAATGAATACAATTTCAAAATAGTTATTGGGAATCTCCCTTTTATTTTGCCTCTGGATTATTTTTCAGTTCTTGCATTGACTTGACTGATATCCACTGGACATTGACAAATCCATAGTAATAGTACTATTATTACTACAAAGCAGCTTTGATTTGTCTGAATAACTGAGTGCCTAAGTAAGGAAAGAACCAAGAACAAGCATGTCACTGGTGTGGGTAGAATCCATCACTGGGGGCTACTTCTGAAGTGAGGAGATAGCTGCTCAGGATCACTCACTGTCTGCTCATCAGCCACCCCAGAAAAGGGCAGCCCGGGTGACCGTGGGCCTTCTGTGATAAGGGTCTGTCCACTGCAAATGGGAATCTGATCATAGTTTCATTTCACAAGGTCCAACAGATGGAAAACAACTTTATCTATATTCCCCAGATCCAGACTGGAAGCTGAACTGCACTCAACAGCCCCTTCCTCTCTTTCCCAAGACATGTTGATTCCCTACAAAGGTTGCTTGACTCGGGGTGTGTGTGTGTGTGTGTGTGTGTGTGTGTGTGTGTGTGTTGGTTCTCACATTAAGCTGCAGTTCTAAGTGCAGACATTTTCCATAGCCATGAGAACTGGTTTCTTCATTAGTGTCTGACCCATCTGGTTAGAAATCAATGGCTTTCAAAATCGGGGCTTGGGCCAGGGAGATTGCTCAGTAGAATAAGCACTTCCCTGGCAAGTGCAAGGGTCTGAGTTCAATCCCCGGTTTCGCAAAAAAAAAGAAAAGAAAAATGGGGGCCAAGTGTGTGAGGACAGAAGGCAGTGGCTGCAGGGACAGGTAGGCACTGAGATGGAAATGAGTTCAGAGATCATTTGTGGGTGAGACCTGGGAAGAGGGCTGTAGGATGGCTTAATTATCACAAGAACTCTGCATAGGTTTAGGCACACTGGAATCACAAGTGTAACTCACATTCACTGTGAAAGCCAAAGTGGGGCACGTGACCACCAAAAGGGATACTGGAGGCTTCAACACACACTGCTCATCACTGACTTGACTTGCAGTGTACCTTGCAACAGACTGATTTTATCTCAAAGTGATTTAGTCTGCAGTCGTAGAAGACAAGACCCTTGCTGCACACAAGGGCTGTAATTTGTGAAATTTAGGTGCTGGGGATTAGGACCACCTGTTGAATTTCATCTTGGAGTTATGTTAATATCATCACGTAACTGAACATAAACAGTATATATTTAGCAGTCTTCAGGACCTCTGGCAATGGAGATGTGAACAGTTTCCTAAATAGTATCTGTAACTCTCTCCAGATTCTGTAACTCAGTGGCAAATAAAAAGTCTGTTGGAATTCTGATTCAATATGCAGCAGCATATGGCTTCGTGGTCATCACATTGAGCATACCCTATAATTTTTCTCAGGCCTGATCAGAGACACAGAGAGAGAGAGAGACAGAGAGAGAGAAAAAAAAAAAACAATCTGCACATCATCTGGTGATATAATAAGAATAGAAAAGCCTTTATTTCTTAACTTCTTCTGTGTTAATGGAGGGGGAGGGTTTCTAAAATATTTTAACAAATGATTTCTACCTCTAAGGAAAACTATATAAGATTTTAAATAAAGCCTAATTAAATAGCAGCTTTTGGATTGTAAACAGTCACAATGCACCCTTTGATGACCATCAGAAATGGACTGCCCAGTTTCTTGCCAGCTGCCTAGCAGCAGCAAAGAGGGTCAGACTGCATTTTTATCTGAAGTTTACAGAAGTTTAGTTCTGCAGGATGGTATTGGATGTTGCCCGAAGGTACAACTTTCAAGATCTGTAGCATTTGCTTTTTGGTTTGGGGCAGGGATGAAATTTTGTGAGATGTTGATTATTGTGTGTATGAAGGAACTTCACTCATATTGATAATTATCTGCAAAGAAGATCCTAAGATTTTATGTGTAAACAAGAATTCCAAGGACTTTCATGTAGTATTTATCATTCACATAGTACTTCATAGTTTATAAAATGCTTTTACTACAGATTACTTCAATTTTTCATGTACAATTTCAACATTTCCTCTAAAATAGGGAAGGGCTGTTTCCTAATTTCAATTATTCAAGGCACTAATACACTGAAAATGGAATCAAACGTATCTGTACAAATGAACATTATTTTGAAAATGAACTCAAGGTCATTTTGCCTTGTCTTAAATGATCAATATTCTAGCTGGTGTCTGTCCAACAAAACAATATTTGAAGGAAATATTTTAAGAGTATCTTCCCAAAAGCAGATTGGCGCTTCCAGTAAATTGATCTTTTGGCACCCCTATTAATCACAGCTTCCCAAGTGTTAGCCATTTCCACTAAACAATAGCCAGGGAAATTCACAAGTTCAGTGTGTTATAAGACACCAGTTATGCATAAACACCACATCCATCCATAGCCAAATTTCTATACTTCCCTAGAACTTTAGCCTTTATTGGTTCCTTGCACATGCAGATCCAATGTAATCAATCAACAACTGTCAGTAAGAAAGAAAACTGTAGTTGTAATTGTATGACCTTTGGCCCCCTGCTTCGATATTGTGAGTATCTACCACCCCATCGCCCTAGCACCAAATTCATGCCCCAATCAAAATCGTCCCCTCCCTTCTGTTTCCCTGAAGTCTTCCGGGTTTGTAGGAAAACAAGTTCCATCTTTTCAAGGAAACTTTCCTTGCTACCCCGGGGTTATCGTCTTTTTCCTCTCTGCACCTTGTTTTCACTGTTTATAAGTAGCATTTTCTATACTGTATCTATCAGTTTATCTATCTCTACCCATTTCCCCATGTCTTGCTTCCACCTCCCCACTCCCCAGGCATTCAGAGGTCTCAAAGGGCTGTCTTGAAATCTTTGGTACCTCCCCAAATCCTAGCATTGTACACTGCACAGTGAGTGGTAACATTTTGATTGCCACTTTTTAAAAAAAAAGTTTGTCTTTTTCATGCTTTCCAAGAGTGGTCTTTTCACACACAAGGAGAATCTGCAAAATACTACTTTCATCCACAACCAAAAAATTTAGTAAAATGAAAAGTCAAAGAATTGGGGGAGCTCAAGAAATCCTCTGCTTCACAAAGCAGATACAGGGTGGAAGTGTGTTTTAATAAAAGCATATTAGCAGCTTCAAATAATGAAGGATACATTTAAACTGTACTAAAATATCTTCAGAATCAGGAAACCTGATTAGGATTCTCCCAGAGGCTTCACACACTGAAACCAGGGATATACTATTCCTAGGGAAAGGAGACTCAATTTTTTAAAAATTCATCTTATTAATTATTAGCCAAGCCACACGGTTGCTTCCCGGAAGGCAGAGGAAAACACCCTTTCAAGCCAAAGGAAGCCAGTCTGCGCCTCCAGCCTTCTGCGCCCGCCTGAGCGCCGCTGCCGGGGCCCAGGGAATTCAGCCCAGGGCCATCAGGCAGAGCCCGGAGGCCGGGACAGCGCGGGGCCCGGCCCGCCGCGCCTCACTTTCCCGCTCCGGGTCGGAGAACCGCGGGGCCGGGGCCGGCGCTATCTCGGCTTTCCAGCCTCCGGGGCGCGTCTTGGCGGCCAAAGCCTAGGCTTCTGCAACCGGACCCTAACCTTCCTCAGCGGCGATTCTGGGGCTTAGAGGACGCCAGTTTCAGGGCCGGTTGCTGTTAGGGAATTGGGCTTCGGGGGTCCCCTCGCTTCGTGCCTATTCCTTGAAAACTTTGCACCCCTCTCCAACGGGAATCCCTTCCAAGTGGAAATTTCTGTCCCCTCCCGCCCCCATGCCCAACCGCAGCCAGTCCACTCCCCCTTTCCAGCCCGCGCGCGGCACTACTCACGCGCTCCCGGCGGGGAAGGGGGAGGCGCAGGTGCGCGGGGCCCGGGCTGTCACCTGGTGGTCGGCCACGCCGAGGTACCCGTCCAGCGGCCGCGGCGCGGCCGGGGCTGCGAGGCGCGGCTGGGCGCTGCTGTCCGCCGCGGGCTGCGCGCTGCCGGTCGCGGGCTCCGGGGCTTGCGGTGGCGCGGGCCGCTCCTTCTGGCCGCCGAGGCTGCTGTACACGAGCAACAAGCTGGTGCACATGGTGGTGAGCGCTAAACACACTGCCAGACCATGGCGCTGCGGGCGGGCGGGAGCACAGGAGAGCGGCTGAGCCGGACGCGTAGGAGCGCGCCTGCGGCGGTGGGGACACGGGCGCGGCGCTCAGGTCCCCGGCCACGGCGGTGGCTCGGGCGGTCCCGCGCGTCCACAAGGAGAGACTCCCCGCGCCGCGCTGCCCACGGCCGCCGCACCCCGGATCGCGCGGGAGAGGGCGGGGGGCGCGCGATGCCTAGGCGCTGGGGACTGGCGAGCGCGCCCCGCCGAGGGCAGGGGTGGGCGCGCACTTGGGGACTCGGCTCTGCCCAGCTGCGCCGCTGGAAGCGCAGCCCTCGCGCGCCCTCTCCGCTGCCCTCCGGGCTCTAGCTTGAGGAGCCTCTCAAGTTTGCAATGCAATAAGGAAACCTGGAAAGTCTGCAGAGGTGCCCCTCCTCCCCTCTCTGTTAGCCAGGCTGTTGCTTTGGGGGCACCCTTTTCTCCAGCAGTCTGCCAGCGCCCCCCCCCCCCCCCGCCCGCCTGTCCCCTCGGCCCCCGGGGCTCCCGCTGGGGATGTAGAAGCCTATGCAACCCGAACGCCCAGCCCGGATCCTGAGCCAGGCAGAGCTGGGGCAGCGAGGGGACGCGGAGCAGGTGAAAAGTTGTCCCTTTGTAGCGGGCGACCTCGAGGCTCAGGGTTAGGCACCCCCAGGGGCTCCCCGGTGCTCCCCGGGGCCGCTGAGCCCGGGGGTGCTCGCCGCGTCCGGCGGAGTTGCACCCACTGACTCACCACCAGGGTCTTCATTTTGGGCACCTCTTTTGTGCGGAATCCTCAGGCACGCGCTTCCGGGGCCACTTTTCTGCGCAGGGTTTCCATGGTGGGTGAGGGGGCGGCGGTGGCTCTCACGGTCGCCCAGCCGCCGGCCACCGCGCAGCGGGCGCGGGAGCCGCGGGACCCGGGAAGCGCCGCTGTGGCAGAGATTAGAGCCAGAATTAAAACTGAGCCGGACCCTCGGAGTCTCTCAGCGATCTACACCGCTGCCGCCTGCCGCCGCCTGCTGGGTCCTAAAGACCTCGCCATCCCCCTCCCCGCCCCCAAATAATAATCCTTTTTGGCAGAGTGAAATTTCAGGGGCGAGAGAGTTCATTGTGCCAATGGATCCACTTAAGGGTTCGAGTGTTTTCTGGTTTTTTTTTTTTTTTTTCCTCCTCTACTTCTCTTTTAAGAAAATCTTTTATGAAGTCATCATGCAAAAAGAGAGGCAAGCCCAGCTGTATCCTTCCTGCGATGGCCATTTGATTATCTGGAAACTAAGATTCCTGGGTTGTGATTTTTGCTGAAAACAGGTCGACCTCCCAAATGTCAGTGTGTCTACTTAGAGATGTAGCATTTATGTTGACAACCTGGGAAATCTATCACAGTTTTTTCCCCTAAAATATTACATCATTCCCGTTTTGGAACTGGAACTTTCTATTTTTCTCTTCCCCTTTATTTTTTTTTCAAATTTAGTTATTTTCATGCATTCTTTAGATGAGAATATTTCATTTAAATTATTTAATTTGGTATTTGCTCCAGAGATGGCAATTTGTATTTCTACTTGATCTTTGAGGTTCCTAGGGTTCGTCTACAGGTTATGGAATTCTTGAAAATATTTATCATACTACAGCCATGGGGCTCGCTGGATTTATAGCTTCTTTATAATTTCAATAAAGAGTTTGTGTCTATTAGAGATAAAACAGCTTGTAGCTTATTTAATAGGCATTCTAAGGCCTTCAGTGCTTTCTTTATGCTGGTCTATTGCACTGAAGGTGCACAATTGCACATTCGAATTTTGATTCAAATTGAAGACATAATTACTGTTCATTGTTGGGTAGTACACATCAATAGTCTATTTTGAGGATATTCTCTCCCATGTATTTAATTGCAAATGGCATTTGTTAAATGTCTAATTTAGTTAAAGACATATTTCTTGTGCAATTGCTCAGTGAAAATAGTTGTCTTAATGTATTACCTCTTCACCTGTAGCGGTGCAGTGTTGAAGATTGCATTAAGAAGGAAATGATCAACAGGACAACTGAACCATGGGCATAATAAGAGCTTTCTCAAGGCCAAAAAAGGCATTAAAATTCTTTTTTAATCTTCTCTAATCTACTGCTAGACTGGTAATACAACAGGAACTATTTTTAACTTATGAAGCATCCTTCCATACTTCGTATTAAGAAAGCTAAAATGATTGGCTCAATAATGAATATTAGTTCAAGGCTTTCCAGACAGGGTAAGAAACCCATGTGATTCAGCTTTTCAGGGAAAAACAAAAAATTGGAAACACTGTCCAACATTGCCAGCCTTGACGCAGTTTATTCAATTTGTGCTCTAGGCATGAATACAACCAGTTGTTAGGGCAGGAAAAGCGGCAGCCAGAGGAGAATCTTATCGGGGTCTGGACAATTCTTTATTGTATGGTTGCACTTGACACTCAAATTAATGAAACAAAGGACCAACTTGATGAATCATTGCAAGCAGATTATCTGTATTTCTCCAGGGCTCTTTTTGAGATGCTACTAGAGGCAGCTCCTGCATTTTTCTGAATTGTTTTCCCTCTATCTAACAAGTTTCGCTGTGACCGATAAAACACTTCTAATATATTCTGCCAGCCCAAACAGAGTCACCATATTTATGACTTAAGCTCATGACGGCATGTTGGACATGTGCTACATGCTACATCTGACCATATTCATTAAGCTTATGTTATTTTTCCCTCCTGGGAGAGCAGTGAACTAGTTGCAAAATGTACTTCTGAGATGGCCAGAGTAAATGCAAACATTTAACTTTGAGCTACAAGTGAATGACTTCAAGGTGTCTGCCTTTCAATTATTTGAGTTGATGAATGGGACTATTTTAGGCTTGAGAGCCAGGTGGACAGGGTAGGGTGGAGGGGGGTAGGTAAGGCAAGGGCAGGTATTAGTTCAATTTGATCATTGAATGATTGTGCGTTCTTGGATGGCTCTGTATTAGGCGCAGAGATGAATAAAATAGATGTTTTACCTGTAAGAGTGCAGAACCGTGTGTGTGTGTGTGTGTGTGTGTGTGTGTGTGTGTGTGTCTGTATATTGAGACAAAGTCTATAAATAGACAATAAATGACAAAGTGATATATATTCATTTATTAAGCACCTACCATATTAATCACCCACTCTGTAGCAGTCATTGGGAATACCCATGTCACTAGACCCCTGCAAGAAGTCCCCAATCTATCTCCAGATAAGTGATATGAACATATATGCTCCCAAACAGCAAGAACAATCAGTAGGCCTGATTTCTTTCCCCCTTTTGACTGCTTGATTCTTTAAAATCTGAGAGGTTTGAGATTTTTAAGGTATCCACCTATTATTTATGTAACTTCATGCACAACTTTTAGTAATTTGAATAGCCAGAAAGAGCAGAACATAGGTTGCATTCATAAATACCTGGATGACTTGGGGACAGACAGACAGGCAGACAGACAGACAGACAAGTCAATGAAGCATTTTTAGTTCATCTGGCTTGCATAGTTCAATACAAAGTGAGTCGAGGAATCACAATTGGCTTCTCAGAACTCAGGTAGCTGAGATAGATTTCTCACCATTTAAAATTTTGCCACATTTCTGCCTCGTGCTATCACATCCAATCAAATAGATTCCTGTTTTTGAAAAAAAAAATGGAATGGAAAAGAAATTGAGTGTTCCACAATTTTATGTGATAAAATGAAGTGAGAATTTATGAAACAAAGCCTGTGGCAGGACAAGGAGGGAGCAGGTGGAATCTATCGCTCAGAGGGAAACTGGCCCATGCACACAGCCCCAGAGGGCACAAAGCCACCAAAAGAGGAAGGCTGCTACTGGCAGTCCTCCAGCCCTTCCCAAATCCTGTATGACATCTAATCGGAAACAAACTCTTCACACATCTCACCGATGGAGGGAAAGCAGAAAACAACACAATGTAAACTGCCTTTAAGATACACTTGGGTCTTAGTTACTGTTCTCTCCTTGCTAAGCAAAATATCCAACACCTCAAATTAAGGAAGGAAAGATTTATTTGGCTCACAGTTTGTGGGAGTTTCACTCCCCAATCAGCTGGCTTTGAGGATGAGTGGCGTGGTGAGGGGCGACAGTTCAAGGTGGCAGAAGACAGCAAAAGCACCAAGAATAAAAGGGGTGCGAACAAATCTCTTTTCTTCCCTTATATTGTAAGCAGGCTGTCTCCCCCCACCCCCAGGTGGGTGTAGTACTCCCACTATGTTGCACCCTCCTCTTGAATGGCACCACAAGGATGTTTACAAAGTGAGGGCCCTGGCTGCCCCCTGAATCCCTTAGACTTCTAAACATCTCACGTTGACACAATGTATCAACCATTACAACTTGCTTTTCAGCTGATTGTTTTAAGGAGAAAGAAGAAAGTTCTGTGAAATGTACTAAAAACATAAAATAAACTAACAGCAGAATAGGCTTGACATCTGATCATTGTGTTCTTTAGTTGGCATTTCAGAGGTGAGGCTTTGGGGTAGATGAAGTCCCTGAAATTGAGGTGCATGCACCCAGATTCTCATCTTACTACATATTACCTCTGAGACCTTGGGTATCCACACTTCGCTGTGCCTTTATTTCCTCATTTGCAAAGTAGCACCCATGTCAAAGCATTAGTGTGAATGTTAAATGAGATGCTACCAGTGCCATGCCTAGAGTGATACTTATAGGTTATTAATAGTTCTTTATGATTGTGATTGATAAATTGGTCTTGAAATCAAAACACCAAGGCTTGATCTTTATATCCAATAGCTGTGTGACCTTGAGCAAGAGACTTAAAATATATTCATCAGACTGTCAGCTTCTCTATAAAATGGAGATAACAAACCTGTTCCACAAATTGTTAGAGAGCTTAAGGTATTATTTATGTGACAACTTTGTGAATTGGGAGGTTTTGCATAAGCTAATAGTGCTATGGTGTGGATACAGTTTGTGTCTGTCCAAAGGCAGATGTGTAGGCAATTTGGACCTCAGATTGGTGATACCAGAAGATGGCATGGATATGTAAGAGGTCAAGCTTAATGACGGACCCTTATGTCATTGGGTTCCATGAGACTGCTAGGTACCAGCAATTTGAGGAACAAACAAGATTGTATGAGAATGCTGGATCCCTGCTCTCTCTGCCTCCTGGCTTAGCATGTGACCCTTTCTCCAAACACACTCAGCCATCTTTCATTCTCCCTGGAGTCCTCATCAGAACCTACTCCAATGCAAGTGACATGCCATTGAACTTCTATGACTGTGAGCTAAATAAACCTCTTTGCTGATAAAGTCAGCTGCTTCAGGCATTATGTTACAGTGATAGAAAGCTGAACAAGAACAATAATTTTCCATTCATTCATTTGATAGATAAGAATTCTACATCTATTGTATGTTAAGCATTAATCTAGCCCATAGGAATGTGCAAGACATAAAGGGGCATTGCCTTGTGAGGCTGACATTCAAGTGAGGGCAAAGCCTATTGTAACAGAATTTTAAGCAAAAAGCACAGAAATAGTTGCAAAGTGGGGTGCACATGTTGTTTTAGCTAGGATGGTGACAACTGGGCAGAGGTGTAGGTGACAGAGTGAGCCATGAAGCTATCTGGAGGAAGAACATTCCATGCCAGGGAAATGGCTCATGAAAAGACCACTGGGGAGAAAAGAGCGTGCTGGGTATGTTGGAGAGACAGGAAAGAGATTGGGGTTGCTGAAGTAGGTGGGGCCAGCAGAACAGTAGAAAGAGTGGAAGGCAGAGAAATAGTCTAAGGCCAGACAGTTTAGGACCTGTGGGCCATACGACAGTGTA